TCCTTTATAAAACTGCAAATGTCTATACACGTTTTTTTTAACCAACCTTTGAATAAATTCTTCACAGAATGGTTATCATCATTAGATACTTTCGTGCAATTATTGCTTGTTATATTATTATCTAAATTAATAAAAGAATGTTTTTTAATCTTGTTTACATATGAATATTTTGTTCTTTTTACTCTTTTCTTTCCACTTGGATCCTTTTTAAAGTCACTGTAACACTAGGGTGAAAATATATATTGGCCAAATTCTTTTCAATTTCCAAGTATCATTTTTTAGAAATAATGAGGTCTTGTTTCTATTTGAATCTTTGAGACCTGTACTGTGTATGGTAGGAGATAGTGGCAGGCATGGGGTAGATAAGAGTCATGTCTAGAGCAAAAAGTTCATGTTCTGGAAAATAAAGTTGCATAAATAAGTTAAGGTTGGAAATAGGAGACAATAAATGCTAAACCAAAGCATCTGTTCCTAATCTAGTAGGCAAAGGAGAGTTATTGTAGCTTCTTACACAAGAGGCAGACGTAGTAGAAATGGAAGCAGGAGTGGAGGCAAACTGTAATGGTAGGATTAGGACGGTGGTGTCTTAACGTTAACGATACACAGAAGGAACACTGACCAAGTATTCTACATTTTAGGAAATGTCCTTTCTAGAGAAAAGGTAATAAAAGAGAAGTGTATCAAGTTTACAGTCAGCCCTCTGCGTCCGCGAGTTCCACGTGCATGGTGTCAACCAAATACAGGCTGAAAGGCCTACAATGGTTGTATGTATACTGAACATGTACAGGCTTTTTTTTCTTGTCATCATTCCCTAAACAATACAGTATAACAACTATTCACATAGCATTTACATTGTATTAGGTATTATAAGTAATCTGGAGAAAATTTAAAGTATGCAGGAGGATGTACGCAGATTATATGCAAATACTATGCCATTTTATATAAGGAACTTGAGGTTCCCAGTGGATTTTGGTGTCTGCTGGGATCCTCAGATACGGGGGAGGACTGTACATGGTTACAAGCAACAGTTGATAGCTGAGTAGCTTGAGAAGGGGATGTACTGAAAGGATGTTGGAGGCTCACAGGATCAATGTGAAGCTGGAGGAATGGGCCTGCAACAGGCAGGGGCCGAGGGTGCTCAGAGGTCAGTGGCAGTAACTTAGCCGTGGTCTGTTAGCGTTCATGATCTGGTGAGCACAGGACCACACCATGCACACCTCCCTTTCATCATCGTTGCACTCTTTCAACAGATTAAAAAAATTGAGGTAAATTTGGAGCCAATAGTTTCTTTGTGAGAATCTATCCTGCTCCTGCCTTGTCTTCCCTAGTGGGGCCTCACATAGGGGAGACTTTATGCACCAGAGGAAGTTGTGTTGCTATTAGGAAATGCAAGTGGATGCTGGACAAAATAGGAGAAATAACCACTTGAGGCAGGCTCTAAGAAACACAACTCTAATACTAAAATCAGATAATCCCACAAGAAAAAAGAGAAAGACATCCCAAGAAAACAGTGCCCCAGATAGGGAATTCTATGATTATCCCGGTTTAAAATCGTCATTTATGGGAAGAAATGTCACAAAGGACGTATTCTTGCAAAATAGCTTAGACTTACACAGTTCACATTGGGAAGGCTAAAGTATAGGTGGGCTGATTGAAGAGTCATCAGGGAGATTACGAGAACAAGGAGCTGAAAAAGAAGGGGAGGCTCTGTGATAGAAATTTAATGAAAGGCAGAGAAAAAACAAAACTCTTCGATGCCTGTTTTGCTGCAGTCTTCCAGACCTTGAAAAATGACCTCCAAATATAAGAGGGCAAAGCAAAGATGGTTAGAATGAAAATAAACATCCAAAATAATTGATTAGATAGCAAAAGAGCATCCACTCATGTTTGAAAGAACTCAGATCTTCAGCCTAGGTAAATTACACGCCACAACACTAAAGAAACTTGGAGCTGTGATCAAGCAAACACTGTCAGTAATTTCATAGAAAGTTGGTTGGACACTTGTCAGAAGTAATGAGTTGGGCAATTGCTGTCTGGATTCATTAAAAAGGGTAAGATGACAGATTACAGAACCACAGGTTGGTGCAGAATTCTTGAGTGGATTATTAAATAGACGATTTGTGAGCATGTAGATAAGAAAACTGCCACATAGCATGGGTGCATTAAGATAAGTGAGGGTGATATGGTGGAAAGAGCTGGAGTCATTTCACTGGGGCTCATGGCCTCGTTCTGTCACTAACAGCTGTGTGGACATGAGCAATCACTGAACTCCATGAGCTGCAATATCTTTAATTGGGAAATAAAGTTGTTGAATTAGATGTCCTTTAATGGGCAGTTTAGCCACAGAGAATCTGTCACCTCCAAGTGTGCAAAATTTACCTCCATTCTTTTAATCTGACTGATGATAAAAGAGCTGCCATTTATTAAAGAACACATTCTATACTGGATGCTTCTGTCATTTTATGAAGTACTCACTTTGGTCCTATGACAGGTGGGTAGTATGAATCCCTTTTTACAAATGATGAAATTGGGTTGAGAGTAGCAAACTAACAGATGAGATGAGTCAGGATCAGAGTGTATACTGGTATCAGGGAGTCAGTTGACCAAGCTCCCATGCTATTATGATGGACAAGATGAATAGATTTAGGATGGATAACACTAAAATGAGACAACTCTACAATGAACACTACAACAATAATTCTTATTTGTTTGGATGGTGATACCTAAAATGTGTTGCTAATGGATCCATGTCCATTTCATGGAAAGTTTCTTTTGGTGTACCTTTAACCTTGGCCTGTCCAACTTTTTTTATGAACAATTTGGTTGAAAACATAGAAGAAATTCTGATGAAATTTAAAAAAGAATAAGGGAAATATCCAGATGAATAATTTACTCACATATTCATTTATTCAATTATCATATCTAAACAAGATTGGAGGTAAACTAATTCATTTACAGTATGATCAGCATTCAAACAGTGAAAGATATTATTATGGAGTGTAAATTTCTGCACTTAGCATCTAAACTATCTTGCTGGACAGGGAACGGCTTTAACTTTGATTCGGGTTGGGATTTAGGGAACTGGAGCAGAGGTGGAGAGTGGGTAGGATCGGCTCTTGGATTGCCATTTGGAGCTTCCAAGAAGGACTGGAAAGGGAGCATCTAGACTGATCTCTAAAAATATTTTTTTCTCTAAGTCACAGGATGGGAATTAAGGGAATCTTGGGTTAACAGAAATTTTCTGTTAAATGGACCCAATTCATTTCAAGTCGATTTCAAGTTCAAAAGAAACCAACCATTTGAAAATCCTAGCACAAAAGGCTGATGTAAATTGTGGTCACGGTCACAGGAGAGGGTGTTCAGACTCAGGCAGGCAGTATATTCCTACAGTCTTTGCCTCAGCCTGAGCGTTCTGCTGCCTCCTGAGCACAGTGGATTCCCTTCTGGATCACAGAGTTACCAGCTAGAGAAAGTGCAACGGGAGGCATCCAGGGAGTTGAAAGATCTGAAAAGCAATCAAATGAGGAACAGATGGGGCAACAAGAAATGACTTAAAAGTGACATGAAAGCTTCTCTCAAATGTAAGAAGAGCTGCTGTTTGGAAAAGATAGTTGGTTAGTTCTGGAACTCTCAGAAAGCAAAACTGGAGGAAGGGGGCGGAATCATGAAAAGCACTTGTTCTGATGAGAGCCTCTCCAGAGTCGAACAGAGGCATCTTTAGAGGTTGAAGCCTCCTAGTGACTCATTCTCTTCAATTCAGTGAATGTTGGTTGAGAACCTTCTGTGTGTGTTCCGAATGCTTGGAATACATCAGTGAAGAAAGCAGACAAAAGTCTTTGCTCTTGGAGTGTTTACATTCTATTAGGAGTGGGGAAACCATCAATAACAATAAGACAAACAAATCAGTAAATGATATAGTATGTTGGAGTGTGAAAGAGTTACAGAGATATAAAATGAGAGGTGAGGAGGTGGGAAGGGAACGTGGCAGGCTGCATGACAACTATGGTTGTCAGGGTAGGTCAGCTCATTGAAAAGGGGACACAAGGACTTCAGTGAGGGATGTGAGAGAGTTATCTTGGGAAGAACATTCCAAGCAGAGGGAAAAGCCATGCGAAGGCCTGAGGTGGGAGTGCGTCAGCAAGGAGGTGTTGAAGCAGAGCGTGGCAGAGCCTTTGTGGGAGAAGGTGAAGAGAGGATTTCTGCTTTGGTGAGAGCTTGGACTACGTGATTTATGAGGTCTCTTCCAGCTTTTTATATCCCTTGAGTTATGATTCTCTGAGAGTTCAGAATAATTGATCTGGTAGCAGTCAGCAGGGCAGATTCAAGAGCAGAGATGGCAGACCAGGACTCACAAATACCAATGGTGAGGGAGCCAGACGGATAGCGTAAACATTTAAAAACATTGGCAACGTGTTCAGATATTTTAAAAATATTATGTAAACTAAATGAAGCATGTTTGCAGGCCAAATCTTGCCCAGAGGCCACCAGTTCGAGACCTTTGCATTAGAGAAAGTGAAGTCAGTTAACAGTGGAATGGTGTAATCCAGATATAAAGTCTTGGACAGGAAGTCAAAGGAGAACAGAAGATAAAAGAAAAAATTTGGAAGTCTCTGATGAGAATTATTCCTTACTTATGATTTGATGTGGAACCAAGAGGGGAGAAAGAATCAAAAATGACTCTGCAAGACCAGTTCACGCTGACTTTGCTCTTTCTCAAGCCAGAGTCACACTGATTTTTGTCTGCCTATTATCAGTAGTCAGATACTTACTTGTCCTCTCATTGTCTTATATATAATTACATATAATTTAGGAACTTAGAATCCAGTTAGGGGGAGAAAACATCACCAATGCAAACATTCTCAATTGTTTTGGGTCTATAATGTAATTATAGTCATAAAATTTTAAACAGAGACTCAATTAATTAACTGCAATAATTAAAAAGAGACAGAGAAAGCTTTCATTCTTTTTGATGTGTAACTTGTCCTGTTTCCTTGTTGCAGGTGCTTTCATTTGCAAGATGGTGCCATTTGTCCAGTCTACAGCTGTCGTGACAGAAATTCTCACTATGACCTGCATTGCTGTGGAAAGGCACCAGGGCCTGGTGCATCCTTTTAAAATGAAGTGGCAATACACCAACCGAAGGGCTTTCACAATGCTAGGTGCGGCCATGGGATGGACCAGTGGCAGAGTTAATGCCATTCTTCGTTATAGAACAAAGAGAATTTCTTCAAAGTGAACTATATTTATAAACAAGAGGAGTAATTTCTTGTCTAGCTTGTAGGCATTGGGGTGTAATTTCAGGATTTCAGTTCTTTCCCCATTTACCCTTGCCCTCACCCCTTCTCCCCTTTAGGTCTACCCCAGTACAGAAAAGTTCTCATTTCAGATTTATTTCTTCAGTTAAGTCTTGAGCTTTCAAGCACTACTTTCAGCTGATCTAAGATAACCTATTAGTGGCGTCGCCCCGTTCACATTCATTAGATTGGTAAACTGTCATGCTGAGGTAAGAGGTCTCTAAGCTCAGATGCCCTTGTTAGGGCAGGTAGACTTTGATAGGGGGCAGGAAAGGTGTTTTCAGAAAAGCAGAGAATAGGCGTGCTGCCCAGAGGTGGCCCCAGAGGTGAGTACACAATAGTGGAGGCTGCAGAGGGAGCACTGGGTACCAGATACTGGAGATGCTGACAAGACAAATTCCACCCACATCATAATTTAGTTTTAGGCATTTCTGAATCTTCAGCTTGCTGACCCACTCCTGGGTCAGCAAGACCTGATGCGCATGTAATTCATGATAGATGGTTAACTTAAGGCAGTGTGGTAAAGCCTAGCAGAGTAACATGGAAGAATTTCTCTATCCAATAACTATAATTGAGTCATTTAAAACCCTAATATGCTTCACAGTGGTCTGAATGTATTATAGCTAAATAATCAGACATTTAGGAAGCGACTAGTAGAATAAACAAAGAAGGTAATTTTTACTAATGTCTCACTTGAGAAGAATGAGTAAACATCCGCAGTAAGAGTTTATCCGGCATGGGATAGCGGAATTACAAAAAGAACTCCTGAAAGCCTTGCAATGCCAAACTCATTTTAAGTAGTTTGAAATGACTAGATAAACCAAAATAGGAGGGAATTGTTAGTTTTAGTTAGCTGTTTTCAAATTTATGTCACATCCTTCCTGTAAAGAATTCGCAGACCTCTTGACTTTTAATAATTGACATCCTTCTACCATCAGCATATCTGAAAACATCACTTGGGTGTGGAAAGAGGGTAAGGAAAGGAATACGTGGAGGAGAGAGGTCATTAAAAAAAGAAAGAGGCAGAGGGAGCCTCCACATCTGGAAGCAAAGATGATAATAGGCAGTCAAGGCAGTTCCTACTCAAAAAGTCATAGGAGACGGGAAGCTTTTTTTAAATCAAGTAGATTCATCTCCCCATGAATATAGGGAGCCTTTATGGTTAGAGAATTACGCACGGATGTATTTTGTTTCACTGAGTTGTGTTCTGATGATCTTAACGTTTTACAGGTGTGGTCTGGCTGGTGGCAGTCATCGTAGGATCACCCATGTGGCATGTACAACGACTTGAGGTAGATTTGGGGCTGGGACTGGTAATCAAATTATTAAAATGTTTTCCCATTCCTCTTAAGTGTAATTATTTTCCTTCCTGCAAAAGCATTATAGCAAATTTGTATGATCTCAATTATTTCACTGGAGGTTTTTTAAGTGGAATAGAATAATTTATTTAAAGACTTTTTCCTGGGGCCAGCCCCATGGCCAATTGGTTAAGTCGCCCACCCTGCTTAGGTGGCCCAGGGGGTGGCCCAGGGTTCTCTGGTTCGGATCCTGCGCAAACCTACACACCACTCATCAGGCCATGGTGTGGCAGCATCCCACATAGAGGAACTGTAATGACCTACAACTAGGATATACAACTATGTACTGGGGCTTTGGGGAGGAAAAAGAAAAAAGAGAAAGATTGGCAACAGATGTTAGCTCAGGGCGAATCTTCTTCAGCAAAGAAAAAAAGGAAAAAAAAATGTGATCTGAGGACTTTCCAGCCCTCTGATGAAATGCCATGGATGAAGCCTTGCAGGAGCCCTATAACTCTTCCAGTCATTCAGATAATAACATTCCTCTGGTCACTTTCAGTCACAAGAACAGTGACTGGTCACAAAGCAGTGTTCATTCCATTATTAAAATGTCCAGTCCAGGGTCACAATCACGTAAGTCCATATTCTCAGTCAATTTAAAACATCTTCCTTCTCCCAGCGTGAGCCATTTTGGAGCCTAGAATCCTGCAATATGGAGAGGGCTATGGTCCCTTCTCTGCTTCTTTACTTTTGTGTTTTCTTTCCTCTCCCCATTCAGTTGGCTGCCCTCTGGCTCTTGGGGAGCTGCTGAGGGGAGCGGGAAGTGGAAGGGGCAGGTGTCCTCTGGTGTCGGTGCCCTCTGCATGTGACTGCTGCCCATGGTTCACTCTTTACTTCATGGGTTTCTCAAAGATAACACCACTGAGGCCTCTGACTGCTGTTCCCTTCTCCAGCTGGCTACTCAAGGAAGACGCTTCAGCTTCCACACACAACTGTATGTGGCTGGCTCCTTTCTGGGAGGCTGTCCTTATCTCCAGCGGGAAACACATACTGATGGAGCCTTTTATAAATGACCTGACCCAGTTCCCATTTGTGGGGTCTAATTCTAGTTCATAGGACACAAGGAGATTTGTCCATGTTTTAATAAAATTATTTTATCATTTGCTCTAAATATATTTTAAATATATAGCTCACTCATATGCATAGAAAATGGATATAATCCAATTGGCAAAGTCAGTCCTCACTGTCAGACAGATGAGCCAAATCAGATTTGCTTTCTGTCAGGAAAAAACATGATTTCATTCTTCAAGTCAAATAAGTGTATTAATATCCATCCCCACGGCCACCTTCTCACTCCTAAATTCTATTAGAGTGTGTGCGAGCATGCACAGAGCCTGAATTTCACACCTGGATAAAATAAAACACCACTGACTTCATTTCTACCGTTGTTTTTTGCTTTGCTCTCACTGAGCTGTCTCTCAGGAGTGATGCATTTGACAATTTTCAGGGGATGGAAGCAACGAGATGGTTAAATTGAAATTCTGATCCCTTCTGCTCCTTCACTGTATGAAAAATGTGAATTCACAACATCTGAACACCTGTCAAAAATATCTCTTTTCTAATGCCAACTTTTACCCTAAATAGAAATATATTTAATACAGCGAAAGGCACAAAGCTGACAGATTTTTGGTGCCTTCATCACGGCGGCATCCTGACATCAGTGATTTGAACCATCTCTTTCTTTGGTGCCCCATAGTAAGATTGGGGCTGGGTGAGAGACATAACTTATGTAAATTGGAAGAAGAGTGATTAGGAAAAAGGCACTGCCTAAGAAAATGCCTGAGGTTGGATGTTGACCCAGCATGACGCTCCAACCGCAGGTATTCTCTTAGGCAGTGCAGTTTTAGAGAAGTGCACATCTAGAAATAGAAGATCTGAAATTGATTCCCATATAGCCGTCTGGACATGTCCTCAGAAAGCGTTTGCTTGTCCCAAGGCAATGTGCACCTGTTGGGAGACTGCCGGTCTAGCCCTGTGCTTTGACGTGTGTCAATATGTGGCCCCAATGCTTGTTGGCCCTTGAGGGCTCTGCCTGCAGGCAGTCAGAATGAATTTCACTTCAACATCCTATTCCCAGAGAGTTTGGATCTTGAAATTATTATTCAGTACGTGTTTTCATTCCTAGTTGTATCTATAAATAACCCCTACATCAGAACTTGAATTTTCATACCTTTGATGCATATACCAGAAAGCTTTTTTTCCCCCATTCAACTGACTTTGAAGATTAGTGATAAAATTTACTGAGAATGGAGGCAGAAATATGTCCAAAATTCTTCATCAGGAAATCTTTAAAGTGACTAAAATGAAAATAGTTTTGATAAACTCTCTAAGTTTTATTCCTGTTATCTAGAGAAATGACTTTTGAATCTACTTTAAATGTTTAGTTTGTCCTTTACTAGCATTTGCTGTTATTATTAATATTGTTATTAATAATTTTTTGAACTCATAAGATGAGCCTGTCAGAAATAGTATTAATAAACAGACATTGCCATTCTGTAATATATATACCTCTAAGGCTTGTAATTGAGTCTGAATATTTTGTAGATAGGCTATCCTGTGTAGATTGGCAATAGCTTGAATCCCAATTTCTCATTCATCTCATCATCGAAAAGCTACCAGTTGCCTTTCTGAAATCTTTGCCAGCAGCCTGATTCCTGCACCCTGAAACCGCCGTAACAAAATGCAGACTTGCAGTACCTAACAGTTGGAAGAACTCTGATCCCTTGTCAAAATTTGTCTTTTAAACAAGCGAGGAAGCAAAATAGTGTAACACTAAACTAGCTGGCATGCCGTACAGAATATTTTTTCACGCTGAATCTGGTCATTGTAGTGCTCTCTTGCCCAGTTGGAAAACTTACAATTATAATATAAAAGTTGAAAGAGACAAAAAATTGAACAGCCTATGGACCTCAATTCCATTTAAAATCAAAGAAAGCATAAAACTCTTAAGAATTGAAAGTAGTAAAGTCAAAGAATCACTTCACAACAAAAGAACAATCAAAATTTTATCTCATTTGAAATATGTACCCATGGTAAATATGGAAGGATCTGACAAATCCTGCGTTACAATCGTACTTGGCTGCTTTCTGCTCTTTTGACGTGGACTAGTGGGTCTTTCTAACTGAATTATTCTTATTTTAAAGATTAAGTATGACTTCTTATATGAAAAAGAACACATCTGCTGCTTGGAAGAGTGGGCCAGCCCTGCACACCAGAAAATCTACACTACCTTCATCCTTGTCATCCTCTTCCTCCTGCCTCTTACGGTGATGCTTATCCTGTACAGTAAAATCGGTTATGAACTTTGGATAAAGAAAAGAGTGGGAGATGGCTCGGTGCTTCGAACTATTCATGGAAAAGAAATGTCCAAAATAGCCAGGTCTGTTTAATGAAATATTCATCTCTGTTTCAAGTGTTTTTAATTAGTTGCGCTGGAAGAGACAGCGGCCAGGGATTTCAGGATAATTGGGCAATTTAGTCAAAGTGTCATTTGTAAGTTACGTTCAGCACATAGGCTGACTTTAAACTTCCGAGATTTTATGTATGGCAGGAAAAACCAGCAAGATTACAAGCTCCCCACTCAAAGGGAAGCCACCAGTATAGATAGACACTTGGAATTTAGAAAATTGTTACATTTTTATCTATATGTCAATAAGACGTGGTAGGAAGAGCCGTGGGCTGATGTCAAGACCCAGTGGTCCTGGGTGCTCTCCTCTCTCTGCCACTCAACAGCCACATGATGTGGATCAGTCTCCTTGCTCCCGAGGCCCCTGCTTTCCTCATGTGTACCAGGGAGCATAATAGCCATCCTTACTTCCTCCCACCCAAGGATGATGCTGAAATACGTGAGATGATGTGTATGAAAATCTTTTGGAATCCAGAGTATGTTATTTACTTTAAATTTATTATTATTGATATATTTTATTTCTACCTGAGAGCTTTGCTTTCTGATCATATGCATTAATAGAAATTTCAAAACACAATTGACTGCTATGGTCCTTGTAGTCCCAATGGTTTATTTTATAATCTACGCTGAATGCCTATTAAAAACGAAAACAAAACCTTACAAGAGGTCTAGGGGTTTGATGAGACTTTTATCATTTCTTCAAGTGTGCAGCGACCTCTAGTGCCCAGTGTCTGTAGAGAAACCCTCCCTCTCAGGGTACAGGGTCTGACTGCCTTTCACCTTGGGGCTGACTTAGCTCTCCCACCTCCTCCGGGAAAAGGCCTACCGTGTTGAAATGAGAAATAATGAATTTGAATTTTTATAAACTTAAAGCACCATGCAAACGTGTAAACCTCTTGCAGATGTTAATCTCCTTTACAGGAGTAATGGAGAAAACTAGTTTGAATCCCTGGTTAATCATATTATTTAAATAAATAATAAAGGATTACATTTTAATTCTATCCTGAGGGAGTCCCATAGTTTTCTGTCTCAAGCATGGGTGCTCTTCAATATAAAATGAATAAGAACTTAGGCCCTGAAGTTAGACTGCCTACGTTTAAATCCAAACTAGCCCTAATTAGTTTAAATCTCTTACTAGCCGTCTGACTTTGCAAATTACTTAGCCTGCTCTGTGCCTCAGTTTCTGCATCTGTCAAATGTCTTGTTGGGAAGATTAATAACAAAATCCATGCCAAGCATCTAGCACTAGACCCATGATCAGAGCATACATCATAAGGATGTTTATAATATGATAAATACATGGATGAGGGTAATAGCAATGGGAAAAGATGATAAACAGCCCACAATTAACTTATCATGAGCTTCACTAATATTTGAGAAATTATGGTTGAGAGATTTAGGCTCAAAGTTTATTTAATAGCTTTGCTATCAATTTGCCACATTTGCCAAGGAGAAGTTAACCAATACAATGTATATCCTTATGAGTCCAGAAAGAAGAAGCGAGCTGTCATTATGATGGTGACAGTGGTGGCTCTCTTTGCTGTGTGCTGGGCACCTTTCCACGTCGTTCACATGATGATTGAATACAGTGAGTGTTTACCATTCTCATTTGATGGAAGTTGTAGTTCATTTCCTGCTAGAATGGACAATGAATCATTGAAGTTTGTTGCTATTCACTTGGGTAATCAAATGTTTAGTAGGTTTCTTTCATGTTTTCAGTGCCACCAGATCATTATTGGCAGATAATTATGTATGACTATGACTAAATCTTTCATAATTACAGAAGATAAAGAAAAGCTTTGGAGATTCTTGTCTCATGCCGCCCCTTCTATTCTCCCTGAGTTATTTAAACATTGGGAGAGGTGTGACATCCTATGAGTGTTCCTATTTAGGACCCTTGACTTGAACCACATGAATTTGATAACACCTAGGATTTCAGCCAGATCCTCAGTGTCCTCTCTCTGATAACCTGAGACATAACATGCTTCTCAGATGGTTGTGTTTCTCTAACACAAGAACATTTGAAGAGAGCCGCTGCTTCCAGTGTACATGAAGCTTGGAATCAAGTTGAAATGTACTGAGTCCCCTAACATGTGCCTGGCACTGGGCTGTGCTTGTAAGCCTAGATTCCCTAAGAATGAAGATTCATCACAAAGGTGGTTTTTCTTCAGACATCAGACGGCCTTACCCAAAGCGGTCTTGAGAATTTTTCACACCTTAATCATTTGTCCAAGTGTAAGTGTTCGCTAAAGACAGATGATAAACAGGAATTTTATTTTATGCTCATTAAAACAAATATACATTCTAAAGTATCACTTTTTATTTCAGGCAATTTTGAAAAGCAGTATGATGATGTCACAATCAAGATGATTTTTGCTATAGTGCAAATAATTGGATTTTCCAATTCCATCTGTAATCCCATTGTTTATGCATTTATGAATGAAAACTTCAAAAAAAATTTTGTATCTGCAGTTTGTTATTGCATAGTAAAAAAAACCTTATCTCCAGCACGAAGGCGTGGAAATTCGGGAATTACAATGATGCAGAAGAAAGCAATGTTTTCCCGGAGAAAGAACCCAGTAGAGGAGACCAAAGGAGAAGCCTTCAGTGATGGTAACATTGAAGTCAAATTGTGTGAGCAACCAGAGGAGAAAAACCATCTCAAACGACATCTTGCCCTGTTTAATTCTGAACTTTCTGAGAATTCTGCTTTAGGCAGTGGGCGTTAAATATAACATTGTCTTCATAATTAATGCCATTCATATCTTAATCTGACGAGAAAATTATTTTGAGCAAAGGTCAAAGGCTTTTTTAATTCTTAGAATGATGAAAAGAAGGAACTTTAAATCATTTTTCCATAAAAAATATGACATTATACATAGAAACAGAATTATGAACAATTATTAAACCATCGTTGTAGATTAGAAAAGTGAATTTTTAAAAATCTTGTGCATAAATAAATATTCTTGGCTAGCGTGTTTCCCCCATGCAGTCAATGGAATGTGGCTTTTAATGTCTTGCTAAATTGGACGAGAAAATAACAGCTTAAAATATAACTTAAAATATCTTTTTGTCTTGAAAAAGTTTAATAGCTGAACACTAGAATGTAATTTTTAGTGCGCTGTGAAGCTTGCTGATACAGTCTCTGCAAATGAGGTCTTTTCAAGAATCGTACAGTTGAAGAGGGAGAAGCAGCAGAATGATGGCTGAATGAGATTTAGAGGACGATGCCTGAGCTTGAGCTTCTTATAGCCCGACCAGTTACCATTGCTGTGATGACTGGCGAGTCATTTGACCTCTTTAAGTCGCCATTCCGTCCTGTGTAAACTGAGATGGTGCCTCCTCTCTTTCAGTCACTGCCGGAACAGATGAGCATGCGCAGGAAAGCACTGTGTCCTCGCAAACACCGTGGCGTTCTGAAACATCAGGGTAGCTCCTTGTGTCTCAGGCCTCCGCTTCCTCCTCCCTTTTCCTTTCTGAGACTTGCCCTCAACCCTGCCCACCTTTCCACTCGTGCCTATTTTGGAACTGATGTCTCTAATCAAAAGAAGAAAGTTTCTGAGATCCCCTTTTATAGGTTGACTGTAATATATTTAGACCAATCTAACTATCTCAAATATTTATATTTTTAAGCCCTTTATTCTCACTAGTGGGATGGCAGAGTTTTTGTCATGTAAAAAGGCTTCTAGGTGCAGTTAGTAGACGAGAGAATCCATTACAAGCCCATGCCGTTTTATTGTGCCCAAGACTGACCCCCAAGAGAGAGCTGGGTCAGAAAGAACAATTGCATTCCCCATCCATATTCTTCACTTAAATCACCCTTAAACTCAACTCCTCTCTTTTTAGTCTTCTCTTCCTCCTCCCAAATGTCAGGGATCCCGTGGCCACCATCCTCGTGCTTTGTTATTTCCCTTTCAACATCTGAGATTCCAAAGTCTGGTCACAGCCTCACGGCCAAAGTGTCTCTTCTGCCTCCAGTTTTCCAGCCAGGTAATAGAAAGGAAGAGAAGCTCGAGAACTCTCAGGGTATTTCACTTGAAAGGTTTAAGGTTTGAGAACCAGAGAACCGTTGCCTTTGGGATCTTTCAAGATACAGACATTTAATTTTATACGTGTGTTAATGTAAGCACATTATGTAACGTAAGTTAATGGAAGTCAAGGATGAAACTGTGGTATTAGCAAACAATGTCAATATGACACAGGAAAGTTAACAAAGTGAAGAAAGAACAACTCTCTGATGATTTGGTTTGTGTTGAAATGGACTCACTATGGGTTGTTTATGTACACTGTCCTCCAATTATGCCTAGTTACTCTGTAGCAAAACAATGATTATCATTAAATCATTAAACCATTAAAAATGAATCAGATTCACTGATTTGGGTTATCTTATTTTTCAGCAAGTATTCATATGATTGTTCCTAAATTTGATGTACACATGCTCCAAATATGACTTAATGAAAAACAGCTAAGTCAACATGGTTACTCACCGTTTAATTATTAAAAATAGTCTTTTTAAATTGCTAAACATTGCAGAGCTTGATATAAAACCAGTTAGATTTTAGATAATAATTTAAATATTTACTGTAAAATGTCCAGACAGCCTGTGAAAGCCCTTCTTTTTTTTTTTTTTTTTTTGCTCACATTGCATTAATGCTGTTTCAGAAACATAGATAGTTATAGCACATTTTTTTGTCCTTTAAACATGTAAACCTTCTGCTCTGTCATAGAAGTTTGAAAGAGAAATCTAGTCCAGCCCATTACTGAGAAACTCCAACCATCAGCCAAAGCAGCTCCAAATCCGGTCTGGACACTGGGTCCGGACGGTGGTGTGGTCCCGCGTGGGAGTCCATTGAGAGTTCACCCTGCGTTTGCACAAGGAGCCCTGCTTACGGCCTTTCTTTCTCCCTCCCTTACTTCCCAGTCCCCTGAGTCTCTCCAACCTCTTTGTCCTCCACCCAGGGATCTGCTCTTTCCCCCATTTTCGCTCTGCCCCAAGCTGTCGCTCATTTTATTCCATCTGGTTTCCCCTTATCAGGTCCTTGGAGTGAGAATTGAAAAGATCTCTTTGGATCCAGGAGGTGGGATTGAGGAGGGCGACGGAAAACTAGCCTTCCACTTATTAGCATTTGGGTAAAATATCTATGAAATCAGTGAAAAGATATGTATCACTGCTTAGCCCTTTATTTCCTTATGACTCATTATGCCAAAAAGAGCTCTGTGGATTTTTTCCAATCTACCAAAGCATACTTGCCTTCTCCTATGGTTTGGTATGAGTCAGGACACCAGTGCTATGCATGCTAGTTTGACTAAAGACTAATTTCTAAACCGGAAACAATTTTTAAAAGAAGAACCAAGTTTCAGGACTTGTACTACCTTATTTGAAGACATTATAAATTCCAACAACCAGGAGAGTGTGGCACTGTGCTAAGGATAGACACATAAATAAATGCAAAAGAATAGAGTTGCCAGAAGTAGATGCACACATATATGGTCACCTTATTTTGACCAAAGTGGCAACATAGTTCAATGGGTAAAGGAAAATACTTCAAACAAATGGTTCTAGAACAATGGGATAGCCAAGTACTGAAAATAGGAGCTTTCTCCTTATACTATGTATAAAAATTAACTCATAATGCATCATAGACTTAAATTTAAGAGCTAAATCTATAAAACTTCTAGAATGAAACATAGAAGAAGATGTTTGTGCCCTGGGTTAGGTGAGACAAAGATTTCATAGACAGGGCACTAAAGGCAGGACACCTCCAAGAAAGAAGTGAAAAATAAAATGAACTCCACCTTAAAAAAGACTTGTGCAGGAATGTTCATAGCAGCTTAATTCAAAATAACCAAAAACTGGAAATAATTCCAAAGTTTATCAACTAGTGAATAATTAAAACTTTGTGGTGGGCCAGCCTTGTGATGTAGTGGTTAAGTTTGCAGACTCTGCTTTGGTGGCCTGGGGTTTGCAGGTTCGGATCCTGGGTGCAGACATATGCACCACTCATCAAGCCATGCTGAGGCAGCGTCTCACACACAAAATAGAGGAAGGGTGGCACAGATCTTATCTCAGGGCCAATCTTCCTCACCAAAAAAAAAAAAAAAATTCATGGTAAAGCTATCCAATTGAGTATAACTCAGCAATAAAAAGGAATTAACTATTGATACATCCAACAACAAGGACCAAATTCAAAAGTATTACGCTAAGTGAAAGAAGCCAGGCAGAGAAGACTATATACTGTATGATTCCATGTACATGAAATTCCAGAAAAGACAAAGCTATAAGGATAGAAAAAAGGCAAGTGGTTGCTAGGGGCTAGTTAAATTTAGATAATTGAATGCAAAGGATGAGAGACTTTTTTGGATGATAGAAATGTTCTATAGCTTGATTCAAGTTGCGGTTACTTGACTTTATACATTTGTTAAAAGTCATAGAATAGTGTGCATTAAAAAGATAAAATAATTGCATGCAAATTATACTTCAATTTTTAAAAATACATAAGGGAATTTCAGTTTGAAATGCAAAAATGCCAAATCCTTATATTGGTTCCTTAACCTGTAGAATAAGATCAGCTGAAAAACCTAGTGGAAGCCTTTGACATTGCCCTACCGCCCCCACCACCAGCAGCCAAGACAGTAAATCAGAAACAGTATTGCTCCCCAGGGTGAACAACGGAGATTAGCGCCGCTCTCAAAGATTTCAGTGATGTAACCTGTGCCCATCATATCCCCATTTAATTCGCCAGTCGAACCCCTGCCAAGCCTGGATGGATCACAGTGAATGACAGTGGACTACTGTGAACTTAAGTCATAGCCCCAAGCGCTGCTGCTGTGCCGGCTGTGGTATCTGTCCTGGAGCAGACTGCCCCAGCTCTGGTGCACTGTATGCAGCTATGGATCAGGCAAACGCACCGTTTTCAATGCCTACTAAAAAGGAGAATCAGCAGCAAGACAACAACAGTGTACATGCCACTGTTTTAACCAAGATTATGTTAATTTGCCTGTTACCTTACAATATAGTCCCAAGGGATGTGAACTATCTGGATATTCCACAGAAGGTCATTTTGGTCATTATACTTATGACATTAAATGACTTCGATCTGATAAGTAAAAAAACTGGCAAGGACTCTCCTTTCATAATCACATGTGCCCCAGAGGGTGTGAGATGACAGAGACAAAACTTAAAAGGATTTAGAGGCTGCCACCTTGGTGAAGTTTTTAGCGGTCTTAGGTTCTGGGAAATGCCAGGACATAGCTTTCAAAATAAATGACAGATTTTTGAACCTTGAACCTCCTACCACTAACAAAGGATAGCTGGTAGACCTCTTTGGGCCCGGGAGGCATTATATTCTGCTCTAGCGAATACTGTTTTGACCAATTTATTGGTGAAATAATCTGCTGCCAGTTTTGAGTGGGTCCCAGAGCGAGAAGGGGCTCTGCAGCAGTTCTAGGCTGCAATACAAGCAGCCCTGTCACTTGGACCATATGACCTAGAAGATCCAGTGCTCTAGGTATGAGAAATTCTGTCACCTAGATCATACGACCCATAAAATCCCATTGTACTGCAAGTATCTGTATTAGGTAAAGATGTCATATGGAGCCTCTGGAAAATTCCAGTTAAAGAGTTGCAGTGCATATCCCTGGATATCTGGAGCAAGCCCATGTCATCTGCAGCAGAGAACTATTCACCATCAAAACGAAGCTCCTGACATGCTACTGGGCCCCAGGGGAGACCGAGTGCCATACCAACCATGTGGTCAAAACTGCCTATCATGAGCTGGGCGCGGTCACGTGCACCAAGTCATATGTTGGGCAGTCCCAGAAACAATTCATGATAAAACGGAAGTAGTGCATCCAGGATCAGTGAGAGCAGGTCCAGAGGGCACAGATGAGCTGCACAAACAGGTGGCACATTCCTCCCTATCACTCATCAATCTTGCACCAATGGCTCTCTCTTCTTTAGCTCATGCCTATGGTCTCACGTTTGTTGGGATTATCAGTTAGTGAGGGAGGTGTGTTGAAGTCTCCCACTATGGTTTTTCATTGGTCTGTTTCCTCTTTTACATCAGCCAGCTTTTGCTAATGTGTTAAGACTGTATTATGAGGTACATGCACATTTAGGAGTCTCACGTCTTTCTTTATGATTGGCCACTTTATCAGTATGAAATGTTCCTTTTATCTCCAGTAGAAACAGGGAAATTTTCAAAGAAAAAAAGTATTATCAAAAGACCCTCTTTAAATATATTTAACAAAATGTTAAAATGGTGTGTACTGTTGTTCATCAATAGAAACAATAACTCAGAAACAGGAAAAGCCTGAGTGCCTACCAATAGAGGAATCATCAAATACATTCTGTTACATCCATAGGATCTTTACTTTTAAAGAATGTGTGGCAGGTGAAGTCATACTAGTAAAATGCGAAAACCATACATTCAGGAATTTCCTCCTAATACTCAACCTGACCCCTTCCACTCCCCTTAGAGTCTGTAAAGGTGAAATTCCTTTCTTTATCACTCCATAAAGAGTCAGTCTTCCATTCTCGGCTCACTAAAGTAGCCTTAACATGAGCTTCTGCTTTATTGCCCTAAAATTCAACCTGGAGCCATTTAATTCCATTATCTGTAAGACTAGCAGATTCTTTAAATACCATGTTTGAGAAGTTATTGCTATGAGCAGTGAGTAAAAAAGCAGTTCAGCTACTTTTCGAATGTAGTATTTGTAGGTTTTATGGGGAGTTCTTGAAGAAATGAAACAAAGACAGACCCACCCGTTAAAAAGTGTAGACTGACTGTGTGTTGTTCTCATTCACTTGTTCAACAAATATTTTTGGAGCTCCTAATGAACGTCAGACCTAGACACCCTATTTCCATTTCAAGATCAAGAAAATCATGGTACTCTGAACTAGATGAGTCTGTAAAGGGTTTGTTGGCAAATGAGAGAATAAGGGAAAGTCACAAAAATCAGGTGAATCCATAAATTTTAAAAACATACATAGCTTTACTGGCTTAAATCTCAGACCCTTTTTCCTCTTGTTCATCAAAATTTTTGTTTTCCAGAACTGAGATTATGATTCATCTATAAAAGAAAAAAATCAGAAAGAAATGAGAGAAAAATGACATAAAATGTACTCCTGCTTGAATCACTAGACCCAGGAGTAAATGAACTACATTCTGACGCCACTTTCTTCTGGCCGCTAAGCCAGATTCCTCAGCTGCTGCTACATTTACGAGACTTTGTTAACTCAGGAAAACCTAGATATAAAGAAATTGTTTTAAAATTAAGTTTTAATGAACTGGCAAAGGCGATTTTTGAAAAGGGGATTTGAAGAAAAAAGAGCCTCTGGGAAACCTACGGTTGTATC